CCAATTCGGGAATTTCCCTCTTTCCTTGAATATTTCCAGGTATATGGAACTCAACAGATGACTTACAGAGCTTAGTTTGGGTGTCTTCCTCTGCCCACTGAGAAGGCCAGAAAACAGTTGAAAATAAGAAACATTCCCATCCACTTAGGACTGAGTCCACTTCAAGGGCCAGTGGCACCAAAGTTGACCACTTTTTGCATATAGTAGTCTAGTTGTTAAAGCACTCACATATGAAGTAGGAGATGTGGCTTGTCGATTCGGCTCAGCATGGGGGGAATTAAACCAGGAAAGAGCTCTAAGAACTTGATTATGGCATATCCTAGGTGAGAGCACACTCCATTTATCCTCTTTGTGGGATGGGGTGGGGGGGTGGGGTGGGACAAAGACAACGAGTACAGCTTCACTCTACTAAAAATTCAGGTTAGTAGTCTGTAGTACAAGGCTGATTTTGCTGACTCCAAACGTTTTTTAATATGTGAAAAAAAGGTCAGCCTGTAATACAGAAAACAGACTGGAGAGGTTCTCCTATTTGATTTCTGAGTCTCATTTTTGTATGGTATATATGGTATGTCTGCAGGTAAACAACTCACTGATAAGTTTAGCACAGTATCTTGTGACAACCTTATTGGTAGGCAGGCTTCTACATCCTCTTGGGTATGTGTCTGTATTAAAACTCCCAGTAGTTACTAGAATGCAAACATGAAGAAATAATACCTAATGAACCGCTGCTCCACTGGTGCATTTTATTATAAAACTCTACACATGACGTTCCTGACAAAACAACTGACAGGAAGGATAAAGATAGCTGGAGAAAATAGCACATCAACAAGACTACATTTTTGATTTTATATATATATTATTTTTACTTTTCTCTATCTGCATATCATGCAGTTTTCCTCAAAGGATATTCCCTCAATTCCATTTAATAGAAGGCAGAAATTGCTGTTTTACCTTGTCGTGTATTTGGATGAGAGAGCCTGTTTTCAGTTAGTGGTGATGTTCTTGTGTACTAATTGTATGTGTTCCTTAGCAGTGTATTTGCTAAATTTTTAGTTGTTGTGCCTATTGCATTTTGGGATTTGCATACCTGTGGTTTCATACACACTTGCAACTTGCACTTGTGCACATGCCTAACAGCTATCTATTTGCCTGAAGTACATGTTCTTGATTATTTATCAAGAAACTCACTTTTTGCAACAATCTTAGATACTTAGTATACTGCAACAGATTAATTAGGCAAACATGTAAAAAGAAATTTCAGTTGTATTAATTCTGTGTCAGTTTTATTTCTTTTCAAGCAGAACTGGCCTTTTTGTGCATATCCCTTTCTCTTTAGGCCTCTATAAATCCCAAATTGATAATAAAGGTTTGATTATGCACAGTTTAGGTTTAGTTTAAAAATAAGGCAAAAACTAATCTGTCTGTATATTTATGCTTGATGTGATATCTGGCTTGTGGCTTTGTAACTCACAAATTTATGATTATCCAGGTTGTTGGAGGAAAAATGACAGAATTAGGACGACTCGGTGCCTTCATTACCAAAGTGAAGAAAGGTAGCTTGGCCGATGTGGTGGGGCATCTCAGGGCAGGTAAATAAATCAGTCGCAAAGAAAATATGTTGTCTTAAATTATGGCTTTTTGAAGTGCAGCGTTTAATGTATATTAACAACAGTCAGGTGATATACGATATGCTTATATTTTGTAAATACAGAAAAATATTTTTCAAGACCTTATGGAATGCTAAAATTCCTTACACTTCTAGTTTCTTATTAATTGCCATGGCTTAGATAGATGAACAAAATACAAGACACTGTTAGTTAGTGCTGAAGTGTCAGTATTGAGTATCACTAGTGAAATTGTTGCTTGCAATCTCAGGAGCTGGTTGTCACACTCTGTAAGATAAACAATGTAAACATTTTTAAAAATGGCTCATTGCAGCAACCAAATTTGCTCCCTTTATTTTATTTGCACTGTAGAGCATCCTGGCGGGTGATGTTTACAAAATATGGTTCATACATTGCATATACAATGAGCATTTTCAGTGCTTGTTTAACTAAGTCTGGATAGTTAACAAATAAAAATGGAAAATACAGAAAATCTATCTCACAGTGTTTCATTTATGTAAGATTTATACATTGCACTTACAAGTAAGTGTTTGTGCCATTGGTGCTTTCCAAGTTTCATTTTCCAAGTTTTACTGTAAATGGAGTATGAACTTTGCACAGCAGTCAATTCTTACAATTACTTTTTAGTGGTCCCTAGTTTCATCATAGCTCTAAACAACTACTTTCCAAGTGTTGTAGCAAACAAGTCTATACAGTGCCTTCTTAAGAATCAGGAGGTGCTGCGGATGACTTCCGTTTTACGATAATTGCATGAAACATGTATTAAAAAGCTAGAAAAGATGACGAGTCTCTAAAAATATCATGGTTTGTCTGGGCATTTGTTAATTTTTTTTGTAATTAATATATGAAGTGTTAGTAGCACCACTTATCATTACAGTTGTCTATAGATTTTAACTGTGGATTATAATGATAGACAATAAGTTTTTCTCACTTCACTAGTCTTTAATTGTTTGGGTTTAAATATTGCATTTCTAATGTCTGGTCTAGGTTTTGTTTTTAAGTCAAAGCTATTTTTAATTTTTACAAATATTTGTAAAGACAAAATAATTTCAGAGAACAGGCTAGGCAGAAACACATTGTTTTGCATATATATTCCATGAGTGAAGGTCTATTCATCCTATTGTATAGGGCAAGAACACACAAAGAGGCATGGGCAACTCACGGCTTTCCAGAAGACACTCTTTTCCATCTTTATGAAAAGCCTCCAAAATTTAGCTGGTTTATAAGTCTTTCAATAATGCAATAAACCTTGTGAAGTTTAACAAAGACGAGTACAAAGTCTTGCATCAGGAACAGTGAGGACTAGAGCCCAGTTGACTGGAAAGCAGCTTGGCAGAAAAGGTTCTGGGACTCCAAGGGGGACAGCAAATTGGACATGAGTCAGCATGTTTGTGGCAACGTGCCTCTGCCACAAAGGTGGCCAAACATGCGCTGGACTGCATTAGCAGGACTGCAGCCAGCAGGTTGAGGGAGCTGACTGTTCCCATCTATTCTGTGCTTTTGCAGCTGTATGTCTGGAGTACTGTGTCCAACTTTGGCTCCTCCAGTACAAGAGAGAGATTGACAAATGGGAGAAGTTGGGCAGAGGAGCACAGGGATGATTTGGGGTCTGGAGCAAGGAGAAGCCAAAAGATCTGGGTTTGTTTGGACTGAAGAAGATGGGAGAAACTAATTTCTGTCCTTAGCTTTTTAACAGTAGGCTGTAGAGAAACCTAGAAACCAGAGAAACCAGAGCCAGATTGTTCTTGAGGGTGCACAATGATCACTTGAGAAACAAAGCACGCAAGTTGGAATAAGAGAGAGACTGATTTTAAAAACTTTTTTAGGTAAAAACTAGTGATGATGATTAAGCCTTAAAACAGGTTGCCCAGAGAAGTTGTTGCATCTTTCTCCTTGGAGATATTCAGTTCTCTGGCCAAGTCCCTGAGCAGCCTGCTGTAACCTTTGAAGTTGTCCCTGCTTTGAGCAGGGGTTTGAATTAGATAACCTCCAGAGATCTCTTCCTACCTCAATTATCATTCTGGAATTCTTTATGAAAATTTTCCGGAGATTTGCAGCATAGTTCTGAAAGACTTCTATCTCTGCTGAGGCTGCAGCAGTAAAGGGGGGATAGAATGCAAGATGCATTAATATTGGTATCTAGAGCCGATGTAGATGCCCCGGGGTATAGTCCCTCATCCCCAGAAGTGGCTCCGTAAGGGCCCACGCGTCCTGTAGGTTCTGATAGCCAGCTTTGTGCAGGTATCTTGGCTGTCCTACCTGCCTGAAGTGGAAGGTGCCTAATAGCTCCTTGGCTGACTTACACTTGCAGTGCTGGGGTACAGCAGTGTGACTTGAAACCAGGGAGCTCAGCTCAGCTGAATTTGCAGCAGTGGATGGTATTTTCCTGTTTTCCTGTCTCCATGCCTGCCACTGAAAGGAGCAACCAGAACACAAGTCTTAGAGACAGAATCTTAGATGAAAAAGGCAACATAAAAGAGCCTGGCTGGTCAAAGAGACAAGAACTGGACCAGCTGAGCAAAAGAAAAATACATCTGATGACTGCTGCTTATCTAGTTAAAACTAGGAGGAATGTCATCACACTTAAATGTTTGTTTGGATCTAGCCTTAAGTTCTTATTTGTAAGCATGACTAGAGCCGCTTCTGTTAATCTAACACTCTGACTAGGATGATCTTATGCTTAATCAATTTGGAGACTTTTTAAATTTGCTTTTTTTTTCTGCTAGTGACTCTCCTATGGGAAAAAAAACTGCTTAAATTTCTAAAATAGCAGTACAGACATCTCACAGGTTGCTCTAGAGGTTCCTCAGCTGTTGTGCACCTATTCTGTTGATTTCAAAATGTGATAGCTTCATTGCTGTGAAAATTAAGTTTAAATCACAAAAGTGGGAGTGTTTTCACTAAGTTGCATGAATTTTTAAATCAGGTTCCTCGGCAATATCTAGAATTGCTACCTGCTTCTCCCTCATGATAAGATGATGTAATAAATATACAAAACATTTAAATCATTTTCAGTTAAATAATTATTTACTTTCACAGTGGAAAATTAAACCTACCTCAGCAAGCATTTATTAAGTTTTTCATTAGTATGCTGCAAAAACCCTTATGTGTTAATGAAAGCCAAAATGCTTCGTAAACTATCATGATCCTTTTGGAGTGCTTTCTTAAAATACCAAAATGCAGGCAGTTTGGGATGAAAGAATGACAGTCATTGAACATAAAGAGAAGTTGAAGTTGCATGTTTCGGTAGTTAGCACATCAATTTTTATGATCATTTCCCTGGGTTTATTAACAAGCACAAGTTCTATCACTTGCTTTTTATCTCCTCGGAGAGGAGCAAAGCCAGCAGCTGAAGGGTTGTTTCTGGCTGAACCTGATAAACATGAAATCATTCTCAGCAAAGAAATATAAAACAAAATTATTTGTGGCATGAGATAGTGGTTGTGGAGGTTTTGACTACGGCATACTTACCTTATGGTCCCTACAATTTAATTTTACACACTGATTTTTCTTTAGAAACTGTATGTAAAGACATTCTCCCTTTCATAATAATGCCAAAGGACAATGCAATGTACATATTATTTAAATTCTAGAAGTGGCAAACTTAAAAAATGAGACTTATTTAATAACTTCACATTGTGTTTTGTTTTCTGTCCCCAGTAACATCCTCAGAAGACATTGACTCATTCTTTGTTTTTATTTTTTGTTCATTTGACATAGACAATAAAAGCTCTCCTTTTTGTGGAGAAATCAAAAGGCACAGTGTATAAATTGTAATAAAAAGGCATGATTTTAAGCGTTTTAACATTCAATATTCACACTTTTCATTTTTCAAGATCAACCTATTTGCAATGTTTATTTCCACTAGTTAATAAAGGGCCTCTTAAAAAAGCGCCGTTCTGTCATTTCACAGCACAGTAAGTGGTGCAATATTATTTCTGAAATATTTACTGTTTTCACAGATGGCTTCTTTAACATGTTTTGTTGTATGCAAGTTGTAGCAGTGTTCTGAGAAAGGAGCCTTGATAGCGACTCAAAATCTTTTTCTGATTTCAACACAGTGTTTTAATTTATTTCATTTTGGAGAATACAGATAGTTACATTTGATTTCATAAATGTTTTGCACTTCTTTGTAAAATAATGTGGAAATGAGATAAACTTCTTTTTAAATTCAAGGGGATGAAGTTCTAGAATGGAATGGTAAACCCCTCCCTGGAGCTACAAATGAAGAAGTTTACAACATTATTTTAGAATCAAAATCAGAACCTCAAGTTGAAATTATTGTTTCAAGGCCTATTGGGTAAGGCTAAAGACTTGTTTCTTAAGCATAGTTATTACTTCTAGTAATGCAACTTTTAAAGGGACTATTTGTGAGTTCATTAGCTTTTATCTTTTAGTAATGGAATAATTCACTTTTTATTATTAATATTGTGTATATTCCATTTTCTTCATTGCCTATTACAATCTTGGATCTGTACAGTGATATATATTAGTACAAATGATTGTTTCTGTATAGTCAAAGTACTAACAAGGTTTTTGCCAAATGGCACAAGAAAATTCTTTTTTTATTGTTTACAATGAATTAAGCAAGGCTTCTCTCAAAATCAAGTGGACCTGCAAGTGAGTAAAACCTATTTGTCTGGCTCTTAACTTTGTTAAATCAGAATAACTTACATGAGTATTAGTGAGTAGAAGGAAGGATCAACAAACACTGAGCATTGCAGAGATAAGTCAGTAATAGCAGCAACTTGTTAAGAAATAAAAAACTTTTATCTATTTTATTTGCAAAGACCATGTATAGTTTCAAGTGATACTATCATCAGAATCAAAAATGGAAACAAAAAATACCTTTATACTTATGAATATAATTTTAATCAAAAATTAACATTAATATGAGATGTTGATAGTCTTAATGTTTATTTATAATAAATCTAAGTTTGAGTTTATTGGTAGCAGCTCTTCTAGTATTAATTTCCCAAATAGGCATCGTGAGAATGAGAAAATCTGTTTCAGTTGGTAAGCTCAGGAGGGTGGGCCCTGTAGTTGTCACGGTTGCTTTACAGTCGTATTCGGCAGTCCTTCCCTGAACACGATTCTGTTGGGACCGTTTTGAGCTAAGTCTTCCTGGAGTCAATATGAATCATATATTGTATAGTTCAGTACCATGTCACATGATTAACAACAAGAAGTGACTGTTGGTTAGTTTCCCTATCTATCCGTAGTTTGCCAGCTTCCCCGAGTTCACATACAGTCACTGTGTAGCTCTCAAATCCGCGTCTTGTAGGTAGACGCTAAATTGTTTCCCCATAGGAATACATGATTATCTCATTCTGAATTTGCTAGATTTCCTCCACATAGAATTTTTCTCTCTCTCAAATCTAGTAACAGTTTTTAGTTTTAGAAACATAAAACACTATTTCTTTTCTGACTAGAACAATCTTCTTTTACATTTATCTAATATCAGCTTTTGATGTTTGATTTTGTCCGTACCGTGCAAGTGAAGCAATGTTTTGCAAATGAGCTCTTCCTTTTTAATGGTGATCACCATTAACACTCCTTAAATAAAATTAACATTTGCTACTAATTTCAATTATGCGTTTGACCTTTTAATGAAAAATGAAAACTTGATGCAATAATTTTGATTACTGAGAAGCTAAAAATACCATCCAGAGGGAGACCACTGGGGAGGAGTAGAAACCTAGTTTTGCGTTCTTTAGTCTGATAAATTAGGAGATATTCTTGACTGAAAACTGCAGATTCATACCTAAACTTTGAATGCTTCTGAATCTGAGCAGTGAATTTTACCATCAGAAGTGCACTCTGAAATCAGCAAAACGTAATGTTTTGCCTTGGGTAACCCATGCATATTTCTTTCCAGAGAGAGGTGAAAATAGACCACGTCAGATTGCACTTTTATTATGAGACAAAATGAATCTTGGCATGGGATTATTTACATAGTATAATAACTTTATTCCTGACTAGAAATGTGTCCTGATTAGAGCTTTTTTTTTTTTTTTTGAGAAGAGTAATAAATATCACAAATGAACTAGAGCATATTACTTTGAAATTTAAAGATATCTCCTTTCCCCGGTAATAAGGAGTTAAAGTCCTTTTTTTGTGTCAGATTGGGATTTACCTGTCTGTTATTTAAAAAGAGTAAGACAAAAGTCATACCTTGTACCACAGAAGAAACCTTTATGTGGGTTAAGAAAAAAGAACAAGAACAAGACTTTTTTTTTTTTTAATTATGATATAATTAAACTCGTGAATTGGGTTATCTAATGGGAAATTGTTTGTTTTGGATGACAGATTACTTCTTTTTTTCCTAGCTTCTCCTTGTCTTGTTATCTGAACTGTGTGGGCATTTCAAATTCATGAAAGTGACTCTCAATCCAGTGATTCAAGCTTTGTGTCTACTTTAGGTGCTGATTCAGCAAAATTTTATCTGATTGATAGCAGCAGTGTGTGGTAATCCATTGCACCTAAAATTCCTGTGAGGAAATAGATTCCCGAAAGACCTGAAAAATGATATTTTGTCTGCATAATTTAAGTGTTTTCTTCTCTCCATATTAATAATGCAAATAATGTACTAGCACATTTAATGGCCTTTATTTAAAAAGTCCTAGCGTATTAGGTCTAAAAAGCCCAAATATAACAGAGTTTGACTTAAGTGGAGGACTGTAAGGGCACAAATTGGATGACTGCAAGTCACAAAATTGATGCCTAAACAGTTTGCTCAGTCTTGTGAATTTGGATTTCTGTGTCTATCAGCAAATGTAATTATGAGTAATGGATAATTGTAGGATGTTTACTAGGGAAAAATGTGAAAAATGTGATGCAATTAACAGATGAAGGCATAACAGCAATGAACTGTATAACCACAATAATACCATAGAAACACCATAGGAACTAATTGACGCTAATGCTAATGATTGCAACACAAGGTAGGCAAGTAACCTATAAAAAGTAGAATTAATGGATTGGACATCTAAATACGAGAGAAAAAAAATACCTATGAATATGCATAAAACACAAGGGGCTGTTAACATAAGACAGCATAAAAAGTCCTCTGGCAGCATGCTGTTCGGAGAAGAAATTTGGCATGGTAGCTAACTGTCTCTTACGTGTTCAGGTGAGCTTATATGAGATAGTGCAGGTAAAACAAATGCTTTTTAGTTTGTCTGTTTTCTCTTTCTGACCCTAATTATCTTTGCTTGGATTTCCACAGATATTATTAATAGTGCCAAAACTGTGGTTTCTCTGGTGGGATTTAGCTCCTCTGTGTAGGGATTGTTAACTATACTTTGCATCTTTACAAGGAGGTTGAGCCATAACAAAGCAGGCAGTACTAAATTCCAGAGAGCTGCTCAAGTAATCAGTGCAAACTACAGATTGATCTGCAGGTTGTGGTAAGAAAGAATGGTTTGGGAAAAAAGGAGGATGAACATTGGGGACAGGAACTCAGGAATTCTGAAAAATATAGGTTGTAGAGGATGGTGCTTTCCTAGTCTTCAGAGAAATTAGAAAGAGCTGTGCATATGCTTAGCAAAATAGTGATTGACTCTAGATCCTCACAGATCATATATCTGCACACAATAGTCTCAACCTCAGCTACTATTTGTATTTAGATATTCATGGAGGAGTGGAAGGGTCGGACCATAGATGTTCGTATATAAGTTCACTAAGACTTAGTGGTAGCTCTGTCTTTCAAAGTAAAGATTGAAAGAAAGTTCAGTGTAGGCAGTTCTTTATTGTGTAGTATTTAATGTTACTTTTCTGAAGTTCACGTTGCTTTGAAAGGGGAGTAAAGTTTTGTTTTCATTTTAAATAAGTGCTTTAATTATGTCATACTTTTTTTTCCCATTGCTTTGGCTAGTCTAGTTTTGAATATTTTAAGTTGGAAGGTTTCTACTATTTCTTCTAAAGAGCAGTTTTGTAAATAGTGATATCAGAATATTTCCTGCAATCCAAACATAATAATAGTCTAGATAAGATTCATTTTGTTAGCTAACAAGCTTTAGATACAATTTCTTTTTAGAAATGTTATTCTTTAATTACAATGCTAACATTTAAAAGAAAAACGTCACTCATACATTTAACAAAATCCACTATACAAATAATTTTTCTTTTATGTATAAAATTAAGAAATGATTATATAAGCTAGCTTGTTAAAATTATAAAAAATTCTTATACTGATACAAGTATAGTTTTAAATTCTTTCATGTGGATTTTGAAATCGATAGCATTTGTAAGGTAGAACTGTGGATGACAGAGCTTGTTAGAATACTGTGCCACAAGTTTTATGATTGGCATTGTATTGCATACTTAATTTATTGATTTCTTTGCTTTTTATGACTTGCATTTCTGTGTGGAGCTATACTTAAACAAGATAAATATATTTGACATACTTTTAGGGAAGAGAAGATTTCCTAACAGTAATTAAAAAAACACACTTACTGTACCACAGAGTTTGAGGGATTTGCTGAGTGTGAATGAGATCTACTACGCTGAGGATGAAAGGGGTGCGTGAGAAAGTTGCCAAATAGTATTTCCTTTGCCAACCATGTGTTTTGTCTGCAGTTGAAATTTATCTTCTAGATTCCTCTGTTGCTGTGAGTTTCGCATAAGTATTACAAAGAGTTTAGAAAAATATATTAAAAATGTACTTTCTATTCTTTCCTGTCAGATGCGTATAGTCTTTAAAAAGATCTGATTATTTTTGTCACTCACCCTTGCCTGGTGAATATTTAATAGGGCTTCTGTATTACCAACTTTAAGTGGAGAAAATACTATCATCTTGACCAGTTCTCTCATGGTATAGCATCTTTGTCTTCATAGCAATGTTTAATTTTTCTCTTGTAAATTGTGTGGATCCAATTCTCATGTTCTTTCATTATTAGACTGCTCTGTGTCAGTCCAACAGCGTGAAGTGGTATTGGTGTAAAAGTGAATTAATTCTTAAGTGCTTATATGTAGAGATAATTATTATTTAGGCTTATTTTTAGCCTTCTTTTCCACACCTCCAAAGCGTTGTCCACTGTATTGTGGAAAATACAGGAAAAATTGAAATGCATTTATTTTATTGACCTTCTCCACCAACCCGGGCATATGTTCCTTGACTCTGTAGGTTGAACTTTCTATGTTTAAACACTCCTTTATCTTAAATATGATATTAATACAAATAATGCTGTATTGGAGAAGAGAGTGTTCACAATCTAGCACAGGAAAAAAGTACAAACAATGTCATATTGAACAGAAAAATCAGTTGAAATATTCTGAGTAAATATTTCAGAATGATGAAAACTGAAGTAAAAAAATGTTAAGAGAAAAAAATCTGCAGAACAGACCTGCTGTGCTTATGGATATATGTTTGTGAAACAATAGTATGCCACGTCGAGAATGAGTAATACCATTATGGTTCCATGAATTCGAGAAAAGCACATTACTCTTGAACTACAAAGTGGAGGCAAGGAGAAGCACGTTCTTGTTCAGTGATGTGAGATGGAAGCTAAAGTGAGACAGTGGCTGGGAGCGCAGATAGGCTTTGTTTAATCACATGGACCAGAAAGGTGCAAGAGAGGACCACAAATGCAGATTTATGACTAGTTGACTGGGCATTTGTGCCCAATTTTCAAAGTTTCTGTGCAGTGTCAGTAGCCATTCTCACTGAAATTCGGTTGTATTTGCAACTGGAGTTCTCAGCTACAGGCACTGCCTTTTCTGACTTACGTATCTCTTTCTTTTTCGACGATGACATATACACTTACGAGCCTTAGTTTTATTGATTTCCAAGACAGTAACATAATGTTTCACTGAACAGAGAAATGCCTGAATACCTTTAAAATGCCCAGTTTTATACTTCAAATCCTGTAAATATCCTTCAGAATTACTATCGAAGTTTCTATCAGTTTCTTTAGATGAACAGTCCTCTGAAGTAACTCACTGAAGAGCTTTGTTTCCATTTTCCTGCTTGAGTTTGCTAACTTTTGTACAGCAGCAGTCATTTCTTACTTCTGCAAAGTATTTTCAATCAGTGCTGAGAATAGAACAGAGCCAGGAGCTGACATCATCCAGATTTTGATGGAGGAATAATTTTTTTGGTGGCAAAATTTTCTGTAGATGTACATGGACTTAACCAGTATGATTTTGAATATACATATGTGTTGAATATACATATGTATTTATGCTAGGTATTTGTATACGTATACAGAAAAATGACCGTATTCATTTGTAATATGCTATGTGGTAGTTTTTTAGCCTTTAAAGAAATGCATTTTTCCTTTTTGTTTAACATTGCTCATGTTGCTTGCTTTTTCTTTTTATTATCGTAAGACATTTTCATCACTTTCATTCCGTGAACTCGTTGAGACGTTTGTATAAAAACTACTAGTGAGTTAATCTATCTCTTTGCTTTCCCCCCCCCCACCCAGAATAGTTGAACACCAGTAGTTATAGTCCCTTTTGCCACCTTTCTCTTCATAAAAGCTCTTTAGCTATGCTTTTTTTCTTGTAAAAATATTGTGGAATCTATCCACAATATTAACATTGTAGTGTTCATATTGTTACTTCTGCTAGTTCCTCATTCTGAAAGAAATAGTAGTTTGCATTATTAAAATTTTCCTGAACACTAGTGGAAAATAGTCAATTGTCTAAATATTTCCCCTTTCTTTCCCTCTGTTCCTCAATGCATTAGAACAAAAACAGATCCATGTTTTTTAAAAAGAGTATCCCATAACCATTTTATTTGTTATAGCAGAAGGTCATTTCAGTTGTTTCTAATTATTATATGCATATTCATGTTTTAGTGATATTCCACGGATTCCTGAGACTTCTCACCCCCCACTAGAGTCTAGTGATTAAACACTTTGGTTTTTTTTTTTTTTTTTTTACTAATTATGGTCTTTTACCAAATGTAATCATTTCGGCTATGAATCTTCTGAAAGATAAGCACTGGGAGACTTTGACATCCCCTAGGATTTTATATGAAAAAAATCAGTGTATTTTCTGTTTTGTGTGTGGAATTGGAAACAATATTCTTTTGATTAAAAGCTATGCTGATTTCAAATGTTGGCAGGATTTTATTGTTTTCTGTTAGGACCATACAAGTGTATACTTTTTGCATTTCAGGACTGCCTACTAATAAATCTGTACCCTAAAACACTCAGTCAGCGTGTCAGAGTCTTGCGGGGCCACTGAGTGCTGCTGCAGTGCTACTCCTTATCTGTAATGAGCTTGTCGTCACTAGTGAGGGCTCTGCTGCACTGGCTGAGAACTGCTGATAGACTGCTTAGGCAGGATACCCTCCGTACCAGATACGTGGCTTGCTCCCACACGTTGCTACGTCTCTACTTCTTGGAAATGGAAATTACTTTTCAGAGGCTACTGGAAATATAAACTGCACAATAAATATGGGCTTATTCATGAAAGATTTCACATGCATAATTCTATCTTGGAGAATATTTTTTTTAAAACATGGTTTTGTGTGTCAGTGCTATAGGAGAAGCAGCTTTTTAATATGTTATTTAGAATAGAATAAAAAATGGCAGGTTTAATTTGGGATAAGGGGGCCCGGACAGTCTTTTCTACCAGCCTACGAACATCAGTTTAAAATTCTCATTTATATAAATTGAGTCGTGCTGTGTATGTAAGCGTTATACAATTCAAAGAAAAAGCAATTCATAAATTATCCAAATTCGCTTCAGAATTTCAGAGGGAAAGTTCATGGGTTTCTCCTGTGTTTGTAGGTTCAAGTTCTTTTGAATCTCAGAAGATGGAAAGGCCTTCTATTTCTGTTATATCTCCAACCAGCCCTGGAACTCTAAGGGATGCACCACAAGTCTTACCAGGGCAGCTTTCTGTAAGCCTGTTTTGTTTTTCTTGAGTTAATAATGAAAATCTATCAAACTGACTCAGGCATTGGTCCCTGGACCCTCCACGATCCTGGATAAGGTCAGTGGGGAGCTCAAGGGGAATGGCTGTTGCTGGTAAAGTTTAACAGCATTCAGGTGGTTTTTAGACCCCCTGTACACACTCACAAACCATTACTGTAATGAGGCTGGAGATAATGACTCCAGTGGACACGGGAAGTCACATTTGTGAGGAGCCCATGAAAGTGCCTTGTAACTTGTCATCATGTACCCTCTACATTGAAAATGGTAACTATTCTGGACTTGTCCGGTAATCTGCAGGTAACAAGCGTAGTACCACTTTTATCTTCTTTATGGGAGCATTTGAAGAGCTATATTCTTGTAAGAGTTATACTGTTCAGTCAGAAATGCATTTTAATTTAGATAAACACTGCATCCTGGAATTCTCTGTAACACTAATAGAAGCTCTGCTTATTAAAGATATTGTGAGTACTTAGACTTTGATTTGTAGGTACTTACAGAGTGCCTAAAAGGCTGAAATCACTTAGTGACTGTATTGATTTCCGAGTATACAGCAGGCTCAAGAATGTCATAATGTTATCATTCTTTTAAGAAATAATTTAGCTGTAGATTATACTTTTCATAAGAACATTTGTAAGATGAAAAATCAGAGTAGATGGGTGTCAGCCATGCCTGAACCATTGCTGCAGTCAGGGCTTCCTGTTTGAAGCGTAGCTTTTAAGGTACACAGCTAAGACATATGCTCACTTAGTTGCACTCACAGATAAAAGTTTTGCAGGGAATACAATAAACAGTGTAAGTACAATGCAGGGCCACCATTTAACTCAGCTTTGATAGATACAAAAGTCTTTGGTGTAATACCAAAATCCTTTCCATCTAGCTTAACTAAATATTATTGATTTGAAATAAAAAAATATTGTTGCCTCTTGAGATTATAGTTAATGTGATGCAGTTTGAAAATTCTTCTTTTCCCATTTTGATTAATATTTTCTGGTAACCTGATTCTTGTAGGTGAAACTGTGGTATGACAAAGTGGGACATCAGTTAATAGTAAATGTTCTGCAAGCAACAGATTTGCCACCGAGAGTAGATGGACGCCCCCGGAATCCCTATGTAAAAATGTATTTTCTTCCAGATAGAAGGTAGTATTTCAGTTTAGAAATCTATTTTATAATTCACCATTGTAAACTATTGAATCATGTCTAAAATTAATGCTTACAAATTAAAGAATTCCTTTATATAATTTGTTATAGTTAGATTAATTACAGGAAAAACTGCACTCAAGGTATGCAAGTCAGTATCAAATTAACTCGGTGGACTTTTGGATGAATATGAACTACTATACAGCAAATACTTTGCTCTTTTAGGCAATATCAGATCAGAAAGAATGACAACAGTAAGTGCTGATGAATGGATGGCATTTTGTGATTTATTCCTACATGCATTTTACAAGAAATGTTTATGTTTCAGTGATAAGAGTAAAAGGAGGACCAAAACAGTAAAGAAAAGTCTAGAACCAAAATGGAACCAAACTTTTCTCTACTCACATGTACATCGTAGAGACTTTAGAGAACGAATGCTTGAAATAACTGTATGGGATCAGCCAAGAGTGCAAGAAGAAGAAAGTGAATTTCTTGGAGAGGTGACATATACAATTGCATTTCTCATTAGTTTGTTGCTCATTTGTTTTTAAATAGATATACATATGTATTTTATATATGTGTCGGTGTGAGTGCATGCTACTGAATTTTATCACTGCTTAAAAGTAAAATTAAACCTGATAATTTTTCTATTAGATTCTTATAGAGCTGGAGACAGCACTTTTAGATGATGAACCACATTGGTATAAGCTACAGACACATGATGAGTCTTCACTACCTCTGCCTCAGCCATCACCTTTCATGCCAAGAAGACATGTCCATGGCGGAGAAAGTTCTAGCAAAAAATTACAAAGTAGGTCCACATTCCATCCATCTTTTAGAATTTTAAATTAGAACTTTCATATGCAAGGTAAAAATATTTTTTCAAGGTCTTTTAACATGGCAAAAATATATGGCACAAAAGAGGTGTGAAATTACGACGTTATGACATGTCAATGCATAGCTTTCAAGTATGTGAAACTTGTTGAAATTGGTTTGGTTTTCACTAGCAAAAGAGAATTGTTAGAACATTTATTTGCACAACTCTCCTTTTAAATACAAAGATGAAGTTCATCATTTCTGCGTTCTTTGATAATAATTAAAGATTTTTGTTTTAGAAGAGAAAAGCCTGAAGGACTTGTGAGGCCTAAAAACAGTTTTCAGCATATAGTTAGTTTCAAGCTCCAGTGTACTTACTGCGCAATCAGATGAGAAGTGTACAGAGCTATTTTTCTGATTTTTCTTCAACAGAAGTGTTGTTAATTCCAGCCAATGCATAGGAAATAGAGGCAGGTTCGAGAGGAAATTATAGAAATGTAATACTGTTGTAATTGCTGCATAAGAATACATATAGAGATAGCAAATGAAAGCTTAGTTTTTATGAGATACTTGAACTTTCCTAAAAGCAATCAGTGTGTTCTTTCCTCTTCCCTTTCTCGCTATATGGTGCCACCTCTCCTTGCCTGTTCAGCAAGCTGATTCAACTTGCTCAGCTTACTGAAATAGCACAAAAGTATTCATTTTTCTCTACACCGAGTTAGCATTTTGCTGGTTTAGTGAGCTGAGCTGACGTAGTAGAAGATTACTGAGGAAGAGGGGGAAGGAGAAAAGGACAGGAGGCTGCAGCAGCAGCAAGGATTGACTCAGCTATCTCTTGAAATATCACTGTAAATCACTGCAGTTTAGTTCTCCTGTTGTTTACAGTTAAGATTATCCTTTGAATTTTAGCAGTACTTTAAAAGAACATATTTTTACATTTTACGATATGACCAGATGTTCAGGTATTTGTTTACCTTACTGTTGTGCAGGATCTCGACCAATCAGTGATAGTGACATCTCAGATTATGATGTTGATGATGGTATTGGAGTTGTTCCTCCAGGTGCGTGGGTGAACAGCATGGTCCTGCTTTCTTCTTCTTTTGTGCTTGTTTGTTTTTTCGTTATAACATTTCAGATTATTGAGGATACTGATATTGGAAAGTGCATTGTGGAGAAAATAGTTTTACTTACTATTCCATGGTACTTGTCCTTTTAAATTATGTGGAAAAAGTTCTAGCATTCATTCACTGATATTTCTTTTACATACCATTCTTCATATGTGAACCATTAGATGGTTCAAAATTGGTTAAGTTACTTCATAATGTTCGAAGCATTGTTAAAATTAGAAATTTAACTCAAAAACTCATTTTAAAATAGTAATTAACATTTCAGTATTTATTGCAAGCATTTTTTTTTATTTTGCTTGAAACTTAGTTATAATGCAGTCTTCCATGGACTGTATTGAAAATGCATGGCTGTAGATTAAGATGCATGTAGCATGGCTATATCTTTTAGAGTTTTCACGAGCCTTCATGAACTATCATTACCCTAAGTGTTCATAAGTACATATTTGTGGAGACTATTATGATTTTAACTTTAGTAAAGCACCCTTTACAGACTCAAAATTTTGAGGATCATTTTTGATACCACATATTTCTATTTCATTTAACTGTTGCTGCAAATCAAAGTAATACGTTTCCCAATTGTCCCAAACTCGCTGAAGAGTCACTATTCCATTGCCCATACTAAATCAGTTTTTCTGTGGATTTTCCTGATGAAAAGTGTTGAATTAAATTATGGTGGCATTTGGAAAGTTTTCTGTCTTGCTGATCAGTGTTTAAAATAACCTAATAAGTTGTTTATTCACTATATATTGATTTAAACAAATTAGTCTTTTTATTATAGGTGTATTATTTGGATATTTAGTAAGCCAAATTCTCCTTCCTTTTATGTGGTTGCACTTTTATCTGATGCAGTCTGATTTAATGCAATTGCAGCTGAGTAACTACGAGGGGAATTAGTTCCATTCTCTCCAGTAAAGATATTTGTTTTAATAGAGTGATTAATTTTGATATTTTTTCATCAGCTGAGCGAGAACATTTCAAATAAAAATAAATCATACACTTTTTCCTGTATATTATTTTGCTTTTCTAGTTGGCAATATAGATACTGGTGCATCCGTGTAGGGTTGCTTACTTGTAAGATTTCAGTATGCCGTATTAATAGGGGCATTTCTCAGCTGCTAGTTCTTCAAGACCTCTATTTCCAATCTGAAATAAATTGTTTTCCATCTGACAGAAGAAATACTCAAAATTATAATGACAGCTGAATACATTCAGTTATATTCATTGGGTCAACACATGAGTAACTCTGATTCTTATGGAAATTTGCTAGGATTGTGCATGCTCAAGTGTGCCTTCGATTTCATCTGTAACAAAAGAATTTATAATGAGCTAAGAGGCTCTAAAGTGAAATAAGAAGGCCCTAGTGAGGAAACTTTTTTTCTAAAGTCAGTTTAGTCAGAGGCATTCTGGCAGCTGATCTGACAAAGCACAAACTTGTATTTTTGGAGCTCGATGGGTACATTTTTTGTCAAATGTGGGTGGAGTTCATCTGTTTGTGATTCCTATGAGATAAGTGGATGCACATGTAAGTATGTGCTTTCTTTGTAGATGCAGTCTGAATTCATGTAACGGGTCAGACTTTAGACACTGGGGGCAAAGAAAGTTTCAGTCGTAAATCACTGGTGTGTGACAAACTGGACAGCATATGAAAATCTATTTTGCAGCTAGAGCTGGAAAATGTTGTTGGTCCCATTGTCTACTGAATTGCTCAAGAGTCTTTGGCACAGATTCACAAATGCACGTGGGCCCCAAGTTTAGATTCGCGTTTCTACCTTCCTATCCAACATCTTTCCTTAGTTACCACATTGCTAAATCTTTTAAGACTGTGGCCTGCTACCTTTATTTGCACAGTGATGCTTCTCCATCTAACAGTCTTTTCTGTTACATCTAAGTTGTATGCAGGTTCCTTGTGCTGAAGGGTCTGTACTGCTTCTCCTCCCCATCCCCCCGAAAGTCATGGACCTCACCAGAGTGCACTACTGCTCTTCTCTGGTCCAGATTTCCTGCACATCATTAGGGAGTGGTGCATCGCCACGTGTCTCCGTAATGCAGGATTACAGTGCAGCCTAGGTGCTCACTTAGACCATTTTGGCACAGTCTCTGTTGACTTTCCCTGGATTAGTCTAATATTAAGATATTCCTTCTCAACAGAAATAAGAATATCAAAATTCAGTTTACAATATGTGATCACAAATAAAATGCTTTTTTTAAAGCCCCCCTTTCTTTACTACTTGTTTGCTTACATTACCAACTTTCCTGCGTACATATGGTAGTTAAGAAGCTCTGTCTTTGATTCAAAGGTATATTCTTACAGCTGTTAATCTATTCTTGTCTTGAAATAGTCATTCAGAACAGAAGTTATTTTGCTTTCTTAATATCTCAAAATTTTCATAAAGGTTAATCCTCATTTTCTGAAGAACCAAATGCGTAACTGAAAAATGTACAAATGCAAAAGCTCAGCTTGGTGATCACTGTAAGTGCAAAAATAATGACAATTTTGTGGTTGATTTCACAAAATTATTGGAAATTCTTAACTATAGTTTCAAATTGTGTACCAATTACTAAGGCAAATGCAGCATTAGCATTTAATAATATTAGAGAAGACTGCTTTCATGGAGGTTTCAGCAGCTGCAAAGAATCACTGCTTGTAGATGGAAGTAAAGACTGCTATATCCAAATAACGGCAGTTTTACGATTTCAAGAATATGTTAAGAAAAATAATTTTTCTTGTCATAGCACACATATATTGCTTATGTTTATATAATTCTACTGCCCACATTTATCATTTGGAATCGTGCAGTGATATGTAGAATTCTTTTTAATCAGTTCATGGAACTGTTAATAAAGAGAGTTTATATCAGCAACTCAAAGCACCTTTAATTTGAAGCTCAGCTTTAACAGAATTATTTTTAACATGCTTCTCTGTAGTATACCCACATCTTTTTATAAGAATAAAATATTACTTTAACTGCTGCATTGCAGCAGGAAACAATATAAAGAATTGTATGCATTTCTTAAAAAAAAAAAAAGAAAAGAAGTATTTGAAGATATGAATTGGTCCTTTGACTAGTACAGGGACTTGTACACCTACTACAGTAAATTTCTGGATCCAAACTAATCTATATGCAAACTATCCAAGTTCCACATTTTGTTACATTCCATCATTAAATAATTCCTATGCTTCCTGGAAAAGTAGAAAGAAAACTACATTTAGGGGAAGTATCTGATTCAGGCTGAAGTAATTTTATTCCCTGAAATCAAAACGTGGAATCAGATCATTGAGAGGTAGTATATATTAATAAATGAAGTTTATTCTCTTTTCCTAGTACGCTGTTGTATGATTCTGGGTAAAAATTCATCACTGATTCTTTACTGTAATTTACCTCATTTAGTGCATTAAATTGTAAGCTGTGGGATATTTAATATGTTATGAAATAAATAGTATTCAGCTAGGGAATCTTCCTCAATCATCTAGTTTTTTATTATCCTTAAATAACTTTAAATCTGGAGCTAAGCAATCCTCAGTTCAATGGAAAAAAAGATATTTCTAGTACTTAGAAAACATTTAAGATCTTGCCAGCTTTTGCAGGGTATACAGATGATCATTTTATAGGGATACGGCTCAACATTTCCATGTGTTCAAGGCTAACTTAATGAAACATTGCCTGTAAATGAAAAACGTTATTGACAGATGATAATAGAATTCATAATATGACAATATAAAATTCCCCTTCCCCTTTTTTGAGATCAAAATAGGAGGTACCTACAACTCATTTGGGGTATTATTTAGTATTATGAATAGGGACAATTAGCTGTAAACAAGTGTTCATCCTCATTTCTGGTAAGGTGCAAAGAGAAGAGGCATTTCCAAAACTTAAATTAGCATTTATAATGGTAACACATTATCTGAGTTCCACTCAGTCATTTGTAAAGTAGTTTTTGCATTTTCAATTATTTCAAATGTTTCTAATTTCTAATTACTGATATGAAAATGATCGAAAACATAATTTATTATTCTGCTTTCATTAATTTAGTAAAAAACAAGCATGGTTTGAGGCATTAGTGTCTGCAGAAACAGGTATATCTTTTCAATCAAGTCTTCAAGTAATTTCTCAATTAAATACAATTAAAAGCTGTTATATAGTTAGTAATATTCAAAGGGGTATTTTTTAGTTAGTAATATTCAGAGGGGTATTTTAATGAGCTATATTGCTTGTTCTATGGGTAAATATTCAGAATAATTTAATTTTCTATCATAAGTAATTTGTATAAATGATTATATTGTACTTACCTTCCTCCTATAGCAGCAGGGTGACAGTAATACCTTGTCATTTTCTGTATTGTCCTTTTTTAAAAATACCAAAGTTAAGACTGTATCAGAAGATTTGCTAGAACTGTTTTCATCATCCATGCAGCTTCCATTCCATATCACACTTGGGAGTTTCCCATGAGCAACGGAGAAACTTCTACATAAACTGCCATAAGCTTTATTGCAGCTGTCACACCGGTCCATGCAAAAAATTCTCTGCTCACTCTGGAGAGCACAGAGCCATTTTATTTGAGAATTTTAGGCAATGTTACTGTTGCTGTCACTGTCACGGTCACTATGGAAGTATGGATACAATTTGACCAACTTGACAATAGTTCAGCTAATAATTAAGCTAAAAGTTATTTGCAATTGTTCTCTCTGTTTTGTAAGCCTTATGTGTACAGGATGCACAGGTTTCCAGTACTGTGCCCCAGACAACTTAGCTATGAAGAATTCTAGCATAAAATCATCTTTGGATAACAGATGTTTGGGTGTATAGGTTAACCCTCAGTATAGTTCGTTTAGGTAGATTAGAGATATTCTAGAATTATATTTTAAACTGAAATTTATATTCAAAAAACCTAACATGTAGTTTGTTGCCTAAAGCTTGGAAAAAAGTTTTGAATTGTTTTGATTTTAATTTTTGAGTAAGTGTAAACTAGTGTTCTTCTGATTGAGGAGGTGAGATTTTATCTCAAGCAAGCTTATTCAGAAAATGAAGTATCTTTTAGCAGATACAGCTCAGATTTAGTCATCCTGGGAGAAAGAACACGTCCAGTTCCTGTCTGGTGTGATCTTTTCTCTTCCTCTAACAAAAAACAACCACATCTTCAGCAGCAATCTTAGTATTCGAGATGAGGAAATCTCCATTGCAATCTTTTTGAGGGAGTCCTTGTTTTGCTTAAAATTTTGCATCCAATCTTTGTTCTGATGTCAGCAATAGCTTCCTATTTTTTTCTAGTTTTACTACACGACTCTGAAACTCTTTTTCAGCAGATAAGAATACTCTAGCATCACAGTACATCAAAACTTGTGGAGTATTGCAGTCCTTTGTTAAAAGGTTGATGAACCTTGGTGAAAATTTTCGGAGGTTTTGCTATGTCCTCTATGTAGACACTTTCATGCATGCCTTCAACTTTCACGGGCCTATCTTGCACTCAGCACTCACTAACCTTTGGTACTAAAAATGCCCACAAGTGGCAAGTTATTTGCTATGATGTAGATAGCTACTAATGAGGTCTCTGAGACGTTTTTTGTCCAGGTCCTTTTCTGATTTTCAAACAATAGCACCAGCCCTCCTCAAACTTGGGTAATGTCACATTTTAAATATGAAACCGCATTCGTTATTTCTGGGCTCCAACTAGGTGTAGTCTGAGAACAGTGCAAGTGTGCACACAGCATAATGGTAACTGATGTTGTTTGTTTCTGAGGTATGTGATATGTTTTTGTTAAGAGCAGTTTTCTTTGGGCCCAATTCTATCCTCAAAGTTCCATCAAAAGTCTTAGTGCTTCCTGGTTCCCTGATTCGTTGACCTCTCCCTCTCCCTGATTCAACAAATGAAAGAAAAAGATGTGTCCCATATTCTCACACCAAACTTAGCTCGTATGAACTGTAAGAAGCAAGAATTAGGCAAAATGACAGCTGCATTTGCAAAGGTCTGTCTGCACAGGCTTTCTAGCTCTGATAGTAACCAAAAAGTCCATAGTAAAACCAGTCATTCTTTTGTTCAGCTTTCTCTCCTTCCCACCTGCCTTCTCTGTCTCATATTTGTAATGATAAATGTATCAAGGCCAGGAAGAAATTATTGAAGCCAATCTTTTTAATAGACTAAAGTTGCTGTAAAGCTGATGCAGGGCTGGAGGCTGACGTGTGACACTGCGACACCTAGATGCTCTTCAGTTATCTTTGGATAACTTTCACTAGTTTGCTCAGTATTGAAAAAGATAGTCATGGTTCTTGAGCCTGTGATATTGCAAGTTATATAATGAGGGAAAACAGTCTTAGAGTACCTTGGATGATGTAATGCATAACCTAATAGGTCCCCCTTCTCATTTATATATTATTAAGATGAATCTGGTCTGTGGTAGAACATGTTCTCATCCTAGGATTACTTACTACTTTTTTAAAAAAGTCTGCCTCCGGGTCTAATGCTAAGAAAATGCATTTGGATAGGTTAGATGTCCATTAGAATAGGTTGGTAAACAACTGATGCATAATTTGGGAAAAAGAGCATGAATGCCTCCTTGATGCTTGTGATCAGTGTTCAAACTTGCAGTAAAATGTGTAATTAAGTTTCACTGAAAATATGACCAAGCCCAATACTGACTCTATCCAGTCCATGTTTTTAAGATGGCTATAACAAATTTAGTAGACGATCAGAAAAGAACTACAAGAATTATACAAATTATGCAAAATATGAATGAAAAAAGCTTGTACCATCATAGCAAGAGTCTTAAAAGGAGCAACTTATTTAATTTATCTAACTGAAGATAAAGAAGTGACTAGATCATAGTCCTTTCCTGCATAAAGAGAAGTTTTCTGATACAGACTGGTTCTTTAACTGAACAGAGTAACTCATTACAAGAACTGATGATGGAAGCTGAAGCTAGACAAATTCAGAGACGAGACAAAATGCTTATTTTGGAATCTAAACAGTCATTTCAGAAGTGACAAATTTTCTACCAGTGAGGATGGAATTCTCGTCAGATGTCTAGAAATAAGCAGTTGAAGTCTGAAAGATAATAGGCACCTATTGAAAGCAGTTCATCTTACTTATCTTTCTTATCTAGTTTAGGGTGAAATTCAAAGTGTATATCAAGGCAAAGATCATGCTAAATAGAAAAGGCACAGGAATATCAACACTTCAAAATGGACTAATATTCTGATAATTGTTTTAAGTCCTAAACAGAAATGAACTACCAAAAACTTTGCAGCTCATTTGTATTATTTAGAAAGAAAAAATTCTACAACATATACAACGACCAGTATTCTCTACAGTGTACCCTAAATGCTCATAGTTTTTGAAACAAGGTAGTTTTGGCTAAGT